TGTGGCCTGTTAATTTATTGAGTGCTGTTAGCTGCAAAGCTGTAGAAACAACTTTCGAGCTAGGAAGGTGTAGTCAGATCATAGAAACTGTTGGTCCTCTTAGAAGCTGGATACTGGGATAGAAGGATCTGTCATCACCACACTGTGGATATTTTAAATGTGCTTCAGATGGGCTGAACTTAGCCATGGAGTTCTAAGTTTAGCAAGTACAATTTAAGTATCCAGTGTTAAACTTTGCAAATAACACTAACTTAAACACTCAGGGTTTGTAGTGTTCTGGTCAAAAAAGATGTTTTCCAAAGTCTTCCTGTTCTGTGGTTTTTGTTTTCCACGAGGATTTTTGACAGGTAAAAAAACCTGACAACAGCAACAACTCAAAACAAAAATAAGCAAAAAACACCACCCCCCCAACAACAACAACAACAAAACCAAACCAAACCAATCAACCAACAGAATACCAAAGCTCTATGTGGAAATACATTTTTTTGCCACAGAGTTCTGAGTGGTGGATGATTGTTGCTCTTCTGTCAAGATGTCTCCTTTTCATTGCCCCTAGATAAGAGGGAAAAAAAAGAGCTAGCTATCTGCAGTTTTGGATAGTCCTCACGGCCTGAGCCTCCAGAGAGGTAAAGATTCTTATGCACCACTCTTCTATTGATTATAAAATGAAAAATCTTGGCTTTTGGATGGAAATTAGAGGAGCTTTTTCTCAGGAAAAATAGGCATCTGCAGGTTTTGGAGGTACTTTTTGCACTTGTTAGCAGAGTTATCAAGCAGTAATTTTTCTTAATACAATGAAACTGACAATGGAACTCAATTAAAAATGAATTCTTAACTACAGTTCATAAGCCTTCTTAATTGCTCACAAAAACTAGTGACAGTTTTTCACCAGAATTCTTTCTAACTAAAAGGAAATTCAGAATAATTTTGGTAAATCTATCTTTAAGAGCTCCTGTGACTTTGACTTTATCTTTTCGTTCATGAACTTCAGTACTTTATGCTGAGTGGATTTGGGGTTTCTTGGTTGTTGTTGTTTGTATTTTGGCTTTTTGGCTTTGGGTTTTTTTGTTTGTTGGTTTGGTTTGGTTTGTTGTTGTTTGGTTGGTTTGGTTTGGTTTGGTTTTGTGTGATAGTGAATCAGCTAACAATCCTGACATTTTGCTTCAAAAGGTGTTTTTTGTAAGTGATGAGTCTACTAGATTCATTTCCGTGCTAGAAATTAACAAGCAGTGATAAATACGTCAATACTAGGGAAACCGAATTCTCTGTTGATGGATGTTAAGATTAAACACCTGCTGAAAGCACTTGAGACACAACTGACTGCTCTTGCTCCCGTACTGGGACAGGAGAAAAATGATGTGAATTATTTGCATGATCCAGCAGACTTGACAAGGAGTTGGAGATCTGAAGACCATCTGAAATGGTGGCAGAGAACAGTTGTGATGAAGGGTCTAGTTTTAACAGCTGTGGTATCAAATATAAACCCAAGATGCACTTCTACTCTCACCTGTGTAAAGCGTGTATAAGTAGGCCCTAAGTATATTCTAGCTTATTCAAAAGGGAAGAAAAAGGATCCAGCTTTCTGAGCACATGCTTTCTTTACCTACATCAAAACTTGGAGTTTCCTGTGCTTCATGTCCTTTCTCCCTTAGTCTCATTGTCATAAAATAAAGAAAAAAAAGGCAAGAAACCACTGTTTTGCATATAATTCCAAACTGGGTGTATAATTCTGGGAAGAGGAAGGAGGAAGTCTTTCAGCCGAATGATCATCGCTCAGCCCAATCCCTTAACCCAGAGGTAACCTCACCAAGAGTTTTACAGAGTTTCAAATTTTTCTTCCAAATACTGCCAAGAGGAGCCTCACAAAAGGAAAGGGATTTCAGCTGATTTTGCCTCTGTTTATTTCTGTGGGCATTTCACAGTATTTGGGAATTTCACAGTATTTGACACTCTTATTGTCTAAAATCCCAGATTAGTCCTGTTCTTCATTAACATTCTTCTGATTTATACTACCCTCTTTTCCTAGGCACATGGTAATTTAGAATAATGGGTTTAGATCATGATCCTTTCCTTCTTTGTTATAGTCAATACTGAAAAGTTAACATTGAATGAAAGAACTATGTAGCTTCACTGTAGTATGTCAATATTTTATATTCACTGTTAGAAGTTATACAGCTGTATCGCTCAGGCTGGCAGATAAAATAGCAAACTTTCAAGACAAAAATGTTCTAACAAAAACAAAGAATCCACATCGTCTTGGGAGTATCCAGATACCAAAGTTAAGGTAACTCATGAGTAAAAGTTAAGATTATGTTTGATTATATCTACAGTTCTTTATGTTTGATGAATAAACAAGGGTAGATTCTCATCTTCTTATGCTGAATAACTTCATAGCAGAAGTCTACCAAGCCTTCTGGGAAAAAGGCTCTCCTCAGCAAGAAAAAGTGAACAAGGACCTTTACTATCATGCTCCTCTGTTGCCGGTGGACAGTAAGATCAACACTCCTTGTGTAATGTTTCCGTAAGATCTTGGATTTTGTGAAGGATATTATGGATTAGTTTCTTGCTGCCATTTAATCTTTGTAATAAGTTTGGGAGTTTTTCCTTCTTTTGGAATTAAGTGCACCATGACACCAACTGGTGATGGCATGAAGAGCTGTGAATCGGGATGTACCAATATTTCCAAGTGTGCTGCATCTCTCAGGAAAATGTTACATTCATTCACACTTTATTCTGCAATGTTCTCTGTGTACAGTAACCATTTTTTCTGTGCTATTTTACACTAGGTCATTCTACGAATTTTATGGTTTATTATCTTTCAAAAGGCCAAGTGACAAGTGGATATCAAAAGTATCTGACTCATATGTGATCTGCAAAAGTAATCAGCGAGCAGTTTCAGTCCAGTGTAAAGAGCTGTAAAATGCATACCACTCATACAATTTGAGTTTTAGGACATTTCTACTAGAGACAATCCAGCCTTGGCAATCTAACAGTATGAGGTAGTAATCTATACATGGAATTTTTTTTAATTTACATCAGCTTTTATGAATTAAAAAAGTGATTTGAATTGATTTTCCACTGTCGTTTTCAAATAGTTTCCATCCTCCATCTGATCCTTAAGATGTATGAATTCAGTTAAAAATATTCTTATACAAGAACTTCTTTTTTCATGCAAGGAAGCATGCTTTGCATTAGGAGGCTAAGTTATTGTGACTGTGTTCTTTAACATTAGCTTTTACCTTTTTATCCTGTCACTGGAGATTATTTTCAAAAATGCTTTTCAAGCAAAAATATTAGTGATCCTTGAACAAGTGCTCTAAAGTTCATTAACCACCCTGCAACACAAGTTGCAGAAGTAATTGGATATTTAGGCTTTTTATTGATTGGTTGCCCACATAACTAAAGGAATAAATGAAATGAGCATTTCAGCTGTTGTCCAAGAGAGAAGCCAGGTACAACTAACGCCCAGACTAATTCTGCTGTTCATTGAGATATTTCTATTAGGCAAAGCCCCCTTGAATTACATTTGGTACCTCAGCAAGGACAATTTTGTAAGCAGAAGCAACAAAATAGGCAGGAGAAACAACCATATATCATGAGAGTTTTCTCCTGCAGGCTTGGAAAGAGCTACTTAGAGCACTGATGCCCCTGTGAAGAAAAAGATCTCTCTGAAACCTGGACAGAATTTTCAGTAGAGGCTTTTAGCATAAGCCATTTTTACCACAAGCCATTTTTACCACTTGGACCTGCACCTAAAATTGAACCATAAAAGTTAAGTGAAATATAAAACAGGTCACTGTAGTCAGGACGTTCTCAGGTAAACCTCCTTAGGTGTTTTTCTGAACATAACTCCAAGCAGTGCAACAAATTCACCGGTGTGATGATCTAATCTTACAGTTACAGAGGTAACATTCATGACGGTGAAGTCTCTGTTCCAAGTGAGCTGTCACCACCTAATGAAGGCCACAGAGGAAAAGTTTGGGTACCTTATCCTTAAAGAAATAGTAGCATATTGCTTCAGTCTGTAGAACTACCAGCTTCACCATCATCTTTTAGATGGAAGCACTCTCTGTTGACTAATAGCACCATGATCATCTTCTTTCCCTCTGACACTGATGGTGGGAAGGATCCCATCACACAGAGAGGGGAAAAGTTAGTTCTTTACTGTAACACTGGGAGAATAGGAAGTTGAAAGGCAGACAGAGAAGATAATAGGTTGTTATTTTCTTCTAGTGAACATTCAGAGAAGTGCTGTGTTACTCCAAGAGGAAAGGTGTCTGCATCAGATCATGTACTTTTGCAGCTCTGCTGTGGTCAGTAGGGAAAATAAAATCACACCAACAGAGGTGTCATTCCCACCCACAGTAGTGAGTGGAAAGAAGCTGCTGCTGAGAATAGTGCTTTTTTTCCCCCTTATATTCCAGGAAGTGGCATGATTCAATTATGTTTTATTAATATATGTATTATTATTAGAGAGTACCCAGGGACAGCAAATAGATAATAAAAATTGATACATGAAAGTTTAGGAAAATAAAATCAGTCTTTTATACACTCCTTTTAACAGTGCCTACCAACCAAATTGGAAAGGATACTGTACTAATAGAATTTTCAGAAAATACTACTTTGGTAGTGTAGACTCAATATGAAATCTGAGCCCAATTAAATCAGTGGACAGTTTCCTACATATTATGCAGACCCAAGATTTTGCCCTAATTGTGCATAGGTAGTCAATATTAGGTTGCCAACTGTCTTCCAAGAGATCAGAGTTATTTTAAATTAAGTAGAGTTTCAAGGTGACAGAAACAATTCAGCAGTGAGACAGCTAAAAAGGCACTGTTAATGATATAAATTATTGTCAGCATGGAGAACAAGTTTTCCTTCCAATGTCACAATCAGTATTCCCTAATTAAAAAAAAAATAAATTATTTTTTTGGGAAAGATACATTCTGCTAATGTTTTTACCAGGAAAACATTCCAGTCACTCTGCTGGGATGAGCTAATATGATGATGGTTTATTTTCATGTACAATATACAGCATCATGAGACTGTGGAGATAGGTCTTTCAAATCTGATAAGTGCATGTCACAACCACACCAAACAAAAATGATAAAACACGAATATCCTGAAAACAACAAAATTCTGCAAAACTTGTAGTCATCAATGAACATTTAAGTTAATTTAACAGTATTTGAAAGTTCAAAAATTCATAGTAACACATTGATACGAGTGTTAGCTTGTAACAAATACATTGTAGATTTGAATTTTTGTCTACCACTTGTCACAGATCATGACATAATTACACGTGGCACTAATCTATGAAATAAGTAACGGAGTTCAATATGATTACTATTCAGTAACTACAATCACTAACATCAGGAATAATTATGTCCTGAAATTATTTTCATCCCCTTCAGTGTATTTTAGCACATATAAGTACACTTCTCTATTTGATTTAAATTATCGAGCAAAATTACTGGCAATATTCACTTTCAGATTATCACACTCATCTTTGAAAACCTCACGCAAAATCCTTTGAAACAGCTTCTATAAAATTTGGAGCAGACATGAGTATTGTAAATGTGCAAATGATGGCGAAAAGGGTAAATGCAACCAGGCACAATCTGTCTATCACGGCAGCCGCAAACTTCCACTCGCTGCAGATCTCTTCGCCCTCGTCCTGTTTCCTGAATCGCGTTGCTATGAACTGAACTTCCTCCAGGATCTTCACGATCACTGGGATAGTATCCATTAGAGCTTTCTTTTGAATGAGCTCGATGTCTTCTGCTAAGGGGCAAGTAATCTTGCCGGTCTTGCTGCCGAGGTCGTTCTTCTGGGGGCAGCACGGGCTGTCCATCGCGTGGTAGCTGTAGATGGAGTTGCCATTGCTGGACTGGTGCCCGGGCAGGACGTTCACCTCCATGCTGTTCACACTCAGGTTGTGCTTGGAATAGCTGTATTTGCAAGAGAGGGGCTTTATATTTTCCCCGGGTTTTTTCATTCGTAGAAACCAAGCACACCAGTTCAGCAGGATGACACGGACCTGAAAGAGAGTTACCAGGGCAGAAATGCAGGGGACTTTTCAGCATTTTAGAAGTTTTTGAAACATTTTGTGACTATCGTGGTTAGTCTGTACTGTCTTTTAGAAACACTGATGGATTTATGCTGTTTTTTGAGGGTCTAGTTTCTTACCAAGGATGGCCTTTTTCTGGATCTGTTTTGAGCATAGAGGTGTTCAACACCCAATTACATTATAGAGCAAGAGAGATGTAAAATCTTACTTTACAGAATGGTTCTTGAAGTCTCATCTTTAGCAAACAATCCCAGATCTCTGCAATTGAGCAGCGAGTACAAAATTGGCTGTATAGTTTTGAAACATTTCTCAGATTGTAAGGAAAGAGATACACTTAAATATTTTGGGGGGCCAATATTTAGATTCTGCTGAAAAAAAACCCCTTTACAGCAGAGTAACAACTAATTCTAGCACATTCCCTGCCCCCATTTCTGTTGTTTATTCTAAATAAAAAAGCTTTGATTGGCTTTTGGGGTTTTTTTGTTGTTTTTTTTTTTTTTTGGGGGGGGGAAGCCATTTATACCCCTTTGAAGAGTTTAACCACATAATACAGGAGGTGCTTTTAAAAAAGAGTAAATCAATTAAATTTAGCAGTTCCAAATCTGAATGCTGCTGTTAATTTCTGTCATTTCCCTGTGCGCTGGTGCATGATGAGACTGCCCTAAACTGTACATGGCAGATTGTGCCTCATATGTTTCTTGTCAAGGTCATCAAACGAGCTAACTCTGGAGAGTGCATCCAGAATTTTTTCCCAGTGAAATGATCTTCAGGTGTTTTGTCTGAAATCTAAGCCTGCTAGAATTCCTGTTGGTAACATTGTTAACTGTGAAAGGCAGTAAAAAGGATGCGGAACCAGTAACATCTTATGTGAAGAGCAACAAACTAAATCTGTAAAATCTTGTAATTAGAAAGTCCTCCTGGTGTTATGTGTACAGCATGGACATTTGCAATGTGCTCATGAAAGACCCTCCATGCAGCCAGGCCTCTTTAATGACTTTATCATCCTGGTTGCAAGTCAAATAATCTGATCTCCAGGAGACAACAGACGTGGTCTCTGGTTTCACTTCAGAGCCTTGGCCCAGGACTCCCTGTGTAATCCTGCTCCAGTTACTTTGGTCATATTTGACCTGGGACCACAATTTGCCTCCAAAATCGTTGGACATGCAGGATAAGATGACCCCTACGTTTTCACAGTACAGACACAGGAATGGGAAAATTACAGTTAGCACTTTCAGTTGCTGCTGTAATGACAAGCATAATTTCAGAAAGGAGGAAGCATTATAAACACAAATGGGAAAAATAATAATAGCAAAAGCCAAAACCAATGACCAGTGGAAGGCAGTTACACCTTTTTTTTTTTTAATTCTGCAGTGTGAGCTGTTCTGTGTCACAGCCCTGTGCCATTCCCTGTGAGCCATTCTGCTTCTCTCCCTCTAATGAATCTTTTATTCTTCATCATTATCCTGATTTTGGCTGGAATAGAATTAATTTTCTTCCTAGTAACTAGTACAATGCTGTATTTTGAATTCAGTATGAGAATAATGTTGATAACACACCGATATTTTAGTTGTTGGTGAGTAGTGCTTAGCCTGAGTCAGGGACTTTTCAGTTTCCTGTGCTCTGCCAGTGAGCAGATGCACATGATGCCATGAGGGAGCAATGGCTTGGACTGCTGACCTGAACCAACCAAAGGGATATTCCAAAGGGATATGAACTCTGGGAAGTTGGCTGGCAGCTGTTGATTGCTGCTCAGAGACAGGCTAGGCATCAGCCAGCAAGTGTTGAGCAACTGTATGGGGCATTTTATTCCTCTCTTTCTCTTCCTTCCTTGATGTTTTCGCTACTATTATTATTATTATTAGTAGTAGTAGTAGTAGTAGTAATATCAGTAATATTATTACATCTTATTCTGTTTCAATTATTAAACTGTTCTTATCTCAACCCATGAAGTGTTGTTTTTTTCCCAATTTTCATCCCCACCAGGAAGGGAAGGTGAAGTATGAGCAAGTGGCTGTGTGGTACTTAGTTGCCAGCTGGGTTCAAACTATGACAGTCCAGAAAGACTGTTTTCCTGTTATTTATATTATTTTGTTTTCACTGACATCTTTAAATAGTTTATTATTTCCTCCGTAGTCACCACTGACAAATAGAAACCTACAGTGTTGCAGCTTAAAAAAGCTGATCCTGCATTTAACTGAACTTACCTAATTACAATGTACTCTGACTACTCATGGAAACAAAACAGCACAAAATGGAACAAGATAAAGGTCTTAATTGCTAGCAATATGTCAGCAGTGCCAGTGCCAAAGGGAAGAGAGAAATTAATTCTCCAGGACTGTGTAATTCCAAAATACAATGTCAGACAACTTTCTTATTAGAAAATGTGAATGTGTCTGCCTTAGCTCTGGAAGGAGATATGAGTTGAAAAAAAGAATTCCTCTGATACAGGAATACTGCTTTTTCTTCAGAGTTTTTACTCCTTAGGGGAATTACATTTATAACTACAGTCAAACACATTTTCCACAGAAAAATAAATACTCAGAAGACAGCAACACAGCTTTTAATATGCTTGGATTTTCAAATGCTCTATTTCCTTGAAAACAGACATTTAGGCACAATCTGTTCTTGTCGTACCAATTAACTGAGGAGACAGCTGCAGCACACGGGTTGCTGGAGAACAGACTGGATATGATGATATGAATTTATACTCTCACCTGTACTGTCATATCAGGGTTTCTATGAAGGAAGGACACAGATACAGCTGCCTTCAGAGGTCAGCAGCCTAACAGGGCTGTGAGCTTCTCCACTACAGTCCTCCCCTAACCAAAATACAGCTGCACTGGTGGTTCCCATCACAGTCACCTGCCTGGCCTGGTCCAGAGGAGACAGTCTCCAATTAAACCTCTCTTGATAAGGGGCATCAGCACCTGAGCAAACCTGAACATGTCCAGGTTTGAAGCACATCAAAAGGAAAGTCCAAAGCCTAGTGAACCTGACTTAGGCACAGCAAAGAGCTGGAGTGCTCTTGCTTTTTCCCTCAAAACTCTTTCTTCTCTCAGTTCTTGGTCTCTCCATCTCTCTTTCCTATGCAATAGTCTTGGTTGTCAGTAGAGAAAGGTCATTTGGGCTGATGTTATTCACTTCCAAACTGCTCAGTAGCTGGGCCTTCTTCAGTGCTCTTTTCCATGTTGTCTCAGCAGACATTGTCAAAAGTGTCAATCAGCCAGCAGCTCTCACTTCTCAGCTGAGTAGCCAACAAACGCCTTGACTGAACACCTTGGATTTGAACTCCTGTCTTGGAAAAAGCTGGCTTTAGTAAGTCACCAAAAATTAATAGAAAGGAAGGCACAATTCTCAGCAGCAAAATAAGGGAAGAAGTGAACACCTACAGAGAGGCTAAACACTAACAGGCACCCTCCTCCCTCTTCTGGTGCAAAGGCCAAGCACAGAGACTTTGAAAGGCGTGCAGGGAAAAGAAGATCCTCAACTGTAAATACTTTAGAAAGCAGGTGTTTAGGCAACCTGTCCAGTCAAATCTTCTGGGTCTGCAGCTTCTCCCACGTAAGCTCAAAGATCCAATGCCTTCCCTTGCAACTTACTCCAGCAGCTAATCCATTTAAGCAGCAGGTGAGAACAATCTTGTAACAATATCCAATTAATCAGGGTTAGAGTTTTGCCATAAACTGATGTTTGGCTCTGTCAGGATGAGGATATTGTGGGGAGTACGTAGACGGTAAAGATAGCTGCTGGTACTGAAAATGCAGAAAACAAGTTTTATGTAAAAAATTTCCTTCTTTCTGAAGTTGGCTATCTTAGATTCCTGGGTTTTATGAGGCAAAAGTCTTTCAAGGTGTCTCTGTAAGAAACACCTTACACAGGTGGACGGGGGAAACTAAAAGGGAAAAAAAAGGAGACTTTGCCATGAATCCCAACGACTGAGCCTTGTCTGTATCTCACAGAGGACAATTACCTACTGTTGTGGGGTCAGCCTCTTCCCTACACACTTGGAATTCACCCTTTTCCTCTTGAGATCCCTCAGTCCTGTCAACTTGTCTGGTCTACAGCTTTTACAGTCTATCATCTGTGCTTCCCAGTAATGCTTTCCACAGTCTTGGCTTCCTGATGGCATGTTTTGTAATGTGTGCCAGTTCAGCTGTGAGGCCACTGAACAAGGTTCCTCCAGAGCGAGAATTTGTTGTACGCTGTGTTTCAAGATGAGAAACTAAGAAACTGGTAGAGAGAAGGAGCTGACTTGCAGGGCCTGTGAGACACATGAGCCATTGTGTCTACGTTCTTCAAAAGGCAGACAAGCCAATAAAATTTTCTATGGGGGCTCTTACACTGCTGCATACCCTGAACATTTAGACATCTGAAGCATGTTTGCCCAGATTTGTGCCCTCAGATTTTGCTTACATGCAGGTTCTTCCAGAATTCACACGCTCTGATGTCTTGAAACTAAAGAGGATTTTAAATAATACAGCACTTTGAGAAATAATTGTGAGCATGCTTCATTGTTATTGGACTTTAAAAAAAAAATGCATTGAAGCAGCAGTTTATTTTAAGAGAGGCTAAATTAGAAAGCTGTTCTGTGCTTGGACTGACATTGGTAACCATGTGATGCTCAACATCATGTCAGGATAATTGTCTGGCATGACAAATGTGGTGAATGAGATACCAGAGGATGCTGTACAACCAGACCTCAGTGAAACCAGGGTGGTAGAGAGCTGACTGTGACTCTTTGTATCTGCTTCTGCTTTCATTCTTTTACATTTTATAATTACAAAGCACAACTTGCCTATTCTAAAATCAATTAGGAAAAGGAGAGGGGAGGAAAAAAAGCATCATTTTCCTTTAACTTGAAAATCTGAAGGAAACATTCCTATTGAAAGCCAGCTGGTGTTGGTGCCAGACCTCACTGGGCTAACAAAGTCTGCTGCTGTCTGTAGAGAAGTCTGTAGAGAAAAGACGGCCCACATGCTAATGCAGTGAGAGTGGATCAGATGGCAGCAGACAAACTGCCCAGTAGAGACTGGTGTTTGTTTAGCGCTTTGAAATGTCACATTTCGTCAGTACTGGATATTTCTTATCCAGTGTCTGCTGGATAAGAAATCAAAGGTGGTGCCCACGGGATTAGCACTTGCAAAGTGGGTGCTGAGCAAAATTACTTTGTCACGACTCAACCACTACGTTGTAAATGTAAACAGAAAACCCAAATAAGAAAGACTGTTTTTAATGGAAAAGTAAATTTAGTATGTTTTTGTTCTTTAACTCCATTAGCAAACATAAGTATCAAATATGCTCTCTATAGCTTACTGTTCATATTAGTGGAGAACAAATGCCGTCCCTCACCTATAAAAAATTTACTATAGCTTTTAGATTTTATTTTTTTTCTTTCAGTAGGAGCCTGTTGAATATTTACCACCAAAGCTGCTTACCCATTTGGGCATCTTTCCTGCCTGGGGGTCGTGATGGTGAAACTGCAGAACCAGCACTGTTACCACCACAGACAGACCAACGATGACCATGATGCTGGCGAAATACTGAGCTGCAAGGAAAAGGAGGACCTGGTTAAGGAGAGGAAAGTCCAAACAAAAAACAAATAGCATTCCTTGGCCATGCCTTGAGATCTACATTCGAGAAGTGCTGCATCACGTCCAAACACCCACCCTCTTCTCTGAACTGCTACACTGGAGCATTTGAGGCCTTTGAGGTTTCCAGTGTATCTGCTCAGCTCACTCCTCTCCAGTGAGGGAAGAGGGAAAACTGCTTGGTTTTGGCCCCAGAGAGGAATGTAGAGACCCATGGTAAGGACAGCTCCATGCCTGGTGCCTAGGCAGTGAGAATTTGAGCTGACAACACCTACTGAACAGCATCCCCAGTCCTGGATCTCCCATTCTACAAGCAGAGGTGCTGGAGGGAGATGCTGTCCTCGTGGTGCCACTGGATCCCTTCAGAAAGTGTCACCAGTTCTCCACCTTTGTCCCACTACTATTCACAAGTGGTTGGGCATATTTTTCGTTACTCCTCTTTGCCCTCAAGACCACTTCTTCTGGTTCCTATGAAAGCACACCACACCTTTCTTGAGCACTAAATTCAAATCTTCTCTGCAGGAAAGAAATCAGGATCTTGAATGCCAGAACTGAGACTTGAAGCCATATCTCCTAAGTGGCAGTACGGCTTTGTTGTGCCAGGAGTGAGGTTGATGTACTGGAGTGTAAAGAAGAATTACCCACAGGGATAATGACATTTGAAGGTTTCAGTGGCAAAATACCAGGGAGCATTACTGTTGGCTGATAGGATGGTACATTGTGGGAGAGAATGTCACACTGCCCCAGACTACAGCCTCTTCCCACTCCCAGCCCTCCCTTCTGCAGTTTACAGGAAAAGTCAAACATTCAGTACAAGCTCCAAGGCAAGTTTTGTTCGGTCTGTATTTCTGAATACCAAATCTCACTGCTTCAGCAGCAAAAAGCTTGTTCATAATAATGAGGTTCTTGGGCCTTCCTGAAACCAATGCTGCAATTGCTTCAAGAGGAAGACATGGCTTTTCCATGGCAAAATGAATTATGTATCTAGATTAGAAGAATACTCCCAAGGGTGAGTTGAATTTAAAGGTCTTTGTTGTGCTTATTCATGAGAGAAGAGAGTCAACAAGCAGGCAGAAGCAGAGCAGAGCAGGAACTCAGGTTTCAGGGAAGCTATTACATGCCCCATGCAACAGAAACACAGTAGTGTTGATATCATTGGTTTAATTACTGCTATGAGTCACTAAATAACTTCCTTATACTCCATGCATTTTGATGCCACCAGACTTCAATGGCCTGAAGTGGTCCGTTTAAAATGTCTTTGGCTAAGATTTTTCACATGTCCTTGGAAAATTAGTCACCTGGTTAAACTTGGAAACAATCTGTTGTTATCTGACTCAAGATCCCAGCCAATGATCAGCAGAGGAATTGACACTCCTGTTTGTTTTTTTTTTATGCTGTAAACCTAGCAGAGGTCAGTGAACTGCTGTGTAGACCTGCTAGTAAATGGAAAACAGTTCTCTGAGGAATAGAGTGGGAACTACAGGGGAGCTGTGGACCCATAAAGAAAGATGTGTTATGGTTTTGCCTGGTAATAATCAAGAAAGAGTCCGGGTGTGCATCATGTGCATTTTGAGGGGGTGAGGTGGGGTGCTTCTCCTCAAGGTGCAGTGAAGTTTTCAGTTGGGAAGTAAGGATGGAGGACATAGGGCATAGTAATTCAGCCCTGTATGTTACTGTCAGGCAATCAAATGTCACAAGATATCTGTGAAATTCAGCAGAAAGGTTTATGGCCCCCAAGTAAGTGCAGGTGCTGCATTCATTTCAGAGAGACAAATCATAACGTCCTGGAAATGCCCAGACCTACTCTAAGACTGGATTTTGCCAGCCCTGAAGAACCAACGGGGAAAGGGGGGGAGGAAGAAGGTAGCAATGACTGGCAGAGTTAGTCTTTCACATCTCTGGTTGGAGATACGATGACGGCTGTTGTCTTCTTTTCTGTGACAAGAGGATGTAGACCAAATCGCCTTTGATCAAAAAGGAATTGCTAAGTCATGTGTCCATGGGTCTCTGATTGAAAACATAACTGTCCTTAGAACATACAGCCAGGTAGGGATGATCAAGACCCTGAGTCTGGACTCAGTGGCGGTTCCCTGGTAAGGAAAGGAAAGGCCCCAGAACTGAGGGGGTATGTCCACCAGGCAAAATGTTCCTGGCTCTGAAATGGTATCCATACCTACTCAGCATTTTCTGATCTTTCCTTTCAGGGTTTAATCCTACATCCTTTCTGTCCTGGGAGCACAAAAACATGGTCTTCCTGCAGCAGTGATGAGAACTGCTGAGGAAGACTCCTGTGCTGTCTTCCATGCACCTAAAATCATGGGTTAATCTTTCTCCACTCTGCTGGCTTGGCATCTCTGTTCCTGGCAGTCTTTAGCCCCCACACCAGCAAGGTCAAACTCATCACTTGGTGACAGCTAAAAGGGCTGCTGTCCCTGTTCACCTCTAGCACCCCCTCTGATATGACCATGACCCAAACTTCTCCAGCAACCCTGTGAGCAGAGAAGCCCTGCTGCTGAAAGGATCAAGCTGGAATGTTCACAGATAACACTCCTCCTTGGAGCCAAAGGACTGTAGTCTTCACTCACTCTGCCCTAGCCCCCCACTGCCATGAATTAGTGAACTCTATTTCTGGGTCTCCCCCGATGTTGCTGAGCAAAGAAATAGAATGCTCTCCTGTTAGATGTTGCAAGGGGAGATAAGTAATAGAGGAAAAGATGTGCTTAGGTCTCCCAAGCAGCAGCTCTTGCCTAGTCACCAGACTTTTTTTGACAGTATTTTAGAGTCCATCGTAAGTCCTATAGCACTTATCCATTTGGGGCTTTGAAGTTGTTGTTCTCAAGAAATCCTATCCCCATGTGTGTCTGTTGGCAGGGATAAATACAAATCTGATTTTGCAAAGAAGCCGTTTCATTTAAACTGCAGGGGGGAAATGGTCAGCAACTCTCACTAAAAATGTCTCTGTGTCCTACTTGTTACTCCTGGTTACTGGGTCAACTTGGAGTCTTTAACAAATTATTTCACTCTGGGAAGTGTGTCAGGAACAGCCATGCTGGACTGGAGTGCATTTGAAAGACCAGGGACCTGGCTACTGTTAAGTCAGATGCTCTGAGGCACAGCTGGTAAGCGACGGACACATTCTGGAGGGGAAGTAGCTCATTTGCACTCTGCCCTGGACAGCTTCCACAGGCCAGGAAAATGGACCAGAAGACCTGTGTTTGGAGTCCCTTGATATCGCTGACTTACACAGCACCATTCCTCAGGGATACTGAAGTGTGTACTGGTCACTTCTCGCTGCTCTTCATATGTTTTAGAATGTGTTTGATGCTTTCTTCAGCAGTTGTACATGAACAGAAAGGCTGTTTTGGATGCTTGATTCATTTCCTTAAAACAGTATGAAATATTTGCTCTTCTACAATTGATCTTCTTCCCTTTATTTGGCAAAGGAGGAATGATATAACATAATATATGGACAGCTGTTTAACATTTGGGAGTTGTCAGCCTCTGTCTCAGCACTATCATAAGATGATACTGTTGTCTTAGCAAATATAGATTTAATAAAAGCACAGATAATCAGTAAGGTCTTCTAAAAAGTCAGCAAGAACAGCTATTTGTTCTTGCAGGCATATTCTGACGTCACCTATATCAAAAGGGTAACAATGACTTGCAATTTATAACTTGAAGGGCATTCAGCACCGTTCTTTGATGTTTTTGAAGACACACTGCTGAAGTGGAACTGGATTAACTTCAAGGACTACTTAGGAACAAGGTAAATAAAACAGAATCTTGAGGAGGGGCAAGATGATTCCAGATGGATGCTTTGCCTTGTTGATTTTATCACTGAACACTAACTGAGAAATCAGTTATCATATCCTTGTGAACGTCAATCACAGGAAAGGCAGAGCATCTCCACTGTGACCAGTTGCAGTCTTGTTCCTGGGAAATAGCGGGGGAAGGAGAGTGTTGTGTGCAGTTATCCACATTGCTCAAGTTGGACTCCTCCCACTGGTGTTCTTGTTTCCATCCCGTCTTTGCAGGAAATGCCAGGTTTTGCCTGTGAAATGATGGACTATTTTAGAGCTGCACTAAGTCAAGTAATTTCAGCCTTTCCGAGTGCTTTGTGCTTCTTGTGACCTCAGAATGAAATATTCATTGCTCTTCCTTCTGGAAACGGTCGAGGTTAATGAACTGAAGCCTGTGGAGGTTACTGGGGGGCTTCCAAGTACTCTTCTGTGCTCCTATGGCAGGGATCAGGCCTGGTGCTGGGCAGCTGCTGTGGCAGTCTACAACTGGCAATCGCAGAGTTACTCAGAGACCAAGAAAGTTAAAAGATAGAGGAGAAATTCTGTTGTGGAGTTACTGTTGTACACAAACAGCAAAGAATGACAGAGGAGCACATAGGCAGGAAAACAATTTTCTGCATTGTTGAGATTAGTTGTGGCAGACACACCTTGTGCCCCATGAGCTCCCTATGACAGGAGAAAGTGAAAAGCATCATCCCAGTCTAGATGGTCCCTCATGAGATGTCTTAAAAGAGTGAGAGATTTCAGGATTGGACTCTGTGTCTGCCTGTTGATTATGGTACTTGTAGAGGAAACAGAGGCAGCATTTTCACAGTGTTTTCAAACTCTTCTCCCACATGTTTTCAAAGAATAGAACTGGGTATTTGAAAAGTAAAACTCTTCTTTTTTTCCTTTCCTTCCCCCCCTGCTGCCCCCCCTCCCTCCCCCCTGATTAAAAAGGCATTCAAGATTCTTGGCTTTGGGAAAAGCACCACTGATCATGGGACATGAAACTGTAAGAGCTGCTGAGAATGAGAATTTGTGTTTTGTGGAAGAGATTGAGCAGGGTCCTGACATCAGCAAGGTACCAGGCAGAACCATGTAAGGGAGGGGGGGGAAAATATTCCAAAAACTCAAAAAAAGACAGGGTAAAGTGAAATGGCATCAGCTGAGAACAT